GCCCCCTTCTCCATGGCCGTCTGCAGCAGGCCTTCCTGGCGCATCACATAGGCAAACAGGCTCTCCCCGGGCTGCTGGGCACAGGTGAGGAACTTAAACCGCGCAGTCATGCGCGCATCCTGGGCCCCAAATACCTGCATGAGCGCGACCAGGCAGTCCTGCGCAGTGAGGTTGGGGTCTTCTGCCAGGAGATGACACAAGAATTCCAGGGCCGGACCGCTCAGACACTCCACCACCCTCCTCCTCTTCTCCCTCTCTGACACATAGCGCCACAGGTACAGCATGTCGTAAGCATGATTCAGCCAGCCCTCAAAAGGCTCTTCCTCAGGGCCTGGCTCTTCCTGCCCAGAAAAGGGCCTCAGCTCCTGGTAGTTCAGGCTCTCTAGCACAGGCCGCAGGGCATGCCTCCATTGCCGCATCCAGGATTTGGCCATGTCTGTGCCTCCTGCTTCACCTAGGGCTGCTGCCACACCTAGTGCCCCTGTCACACCCCCATACCCTGCATCACCTGTGGCTCCTGCCTTCCTTCTGGACCATGCATCCCCTGCAGGTCCTGCCACATTCTCAACCCTTGTCAGACCTGGGGCTCCCATGTCACCTGAAGCTCCTCTATCACAGGTATATCCTGCTGCTCCCCCCTTACAAACCAGTTTTCGCCCCTGGCGTTGAACGGGGGGAGTGGCTCTCTCCTGTACCTTGGCATGAGGGAATGGGGGAAGAGAGATCACTCTCCAGGGCCCCTCTCTGCCTGGTATCTGTCGGGGGATCAAACTATGGTCTAAGCAGTCGGCAAACTGAAGCAAAACAACCTTACTCCCCAGCTCGTTTCTGAAGACATTGCCCAGCACTCGGTATCTGCCCAGGGGCCTCAGGGCAGCCCACACAGCCTCCTGGAACTCGTCTTCCTTGCAGTCGTCCGGGATGCCCACGAGGAGCAGGGAGTGCTGCTCGTTCACGCCCATCCACCTGCACCAGTCCCGAAGCATCGCCACCGACATGGCCGTGGACCTGGGAGGGGTAATCACATAGGGGGAGGGTTGCAGTCTCTGCAGTCTCTGGACACAGAGAAGACACTCGTTGCATTGGGTGCCACACACCCCACCCTGCCACCCAGGCCTGGGTCCTGGAGCCCACCTGTCACATCTGCACCAAGGCCTCAATGCACTCTCACTGCTAGGATTGGCACCTCCCTCCCATAGCTGGAAGCCTGCATCTCCTCCTCCCTTGTTCTGCTTGCTCT